TTGCCTACCTACAAGAATGTAAATTCTGAGGGCAGGAGTTTTATAGGATTGTTTTCTCCTGTTTCCTAAGTGACTGGAACAAGTGCCAATCAGATGACATGAAATGAATGAATGAGTGAACGAATGAAGGAGACACCTCTAAGCGAGCGCCTGGATGTGGGACTGGGACTAGATTGGGATAAATCCACTTTGGATGTAAGATTCCAATCTAGATCCCATTGGTGGTTGAAGCATATCCGAATGGAACCTCCACACCATTTACAACAAAGATCCAGAGGTGGTCTATGCTGCTGCTCTTTATTCACTTCCTGTCCGTCGGTCACCCTGGCTCTACCACCCGTTAGCTATTTGCTCTTAGGCAAGCGGCCTCGCCTTTCTAAACTTGAGTCCCTCTTCTGTAAAACGGGCTGAGGCTCCTCCTCGCACAGGGTGAGGGTGAGGATGAAAAGGCTTAGCTTATGTAAAGTGCTCAGTGCGGTGTCTTGAACGTAGCCAGCTCTCCCTAAACTGTAGTTACCATCGTGGTGTTAATTATCTTCACCTCACCTCTCTGTCATTCCCATTCCAGCTTTCCCTCTGCGCCTGAGCAGCACCCTGTGTGCCTCAGGCCTGCCCACCAGGGGGCCCCCCCACACTGCTCTTCCTGCCCTGCTCGTCCCTGCTTGCCTGGGCAGCCAGCCCCTCGCCTCGGCACCTCTCATTTTCCTCTGATGACAGCTCTGTCACCTCTCCGCCAGTGCTCCCTTTCGTCCCAAATATCTTGGCCTCTTGCCCCAAATTCTTCATTCTTTCCACAAATAGTTACTGGGCACCTACCACGGCCTGCTAGGTCTCATGCTGGGGGTTGAGGATACAAGGCCATCTCAGATGCCCTCTGATTTAAGGAGAGCACAGTCTAAGGGGTCTTGGTGGAGAGGTGCAGAGGCAGAGGGAGCCCTGGCCTGGGCTCGACCACGGGGAGGCTAGAACCAGACTGCTCTTGGGCTGGAAAATGGGCGTTCCTCACCTTCCACACTCCTGCAAGTCACGTGAAAATCTGAACCTGTTAAGATCCACCAGAGACTAGTCTTTTCAAACAAATTACTCAATTCAAGCACCTCACACCCTTTGCTTCAGTCCTCACCCCCAGGATCCTCAGCCTCTCACCCCAGTTTCTCATCCCCCGTGCCCAGCCCTTCGGCCCCTCACCTCCATATCTCCGCGTCTCTGTTAAGAAATACTGCAGTCGTTGATTGAATCCGTGGTTCTTAATCTCTTTTTTTCAGCTCCTGAACACCGGAGGGATGGGACAATGTGGCTTGGTGGGGAGTGGTTCTCACAGGGGATGGGTCGTAACAACTTTTCTGTGGTTGTGATTGGATGTGCCTTCAGGAGAGAGAAGGGCATCCCTCACCCCCTCCGAAATTTGGGAGTTGCTTGTTTAAAATTTTTCATGTGTCTTTCCTTATCTTTTTTTAAATATGTATATTTTTATTGATTTCAGAGAGACAGAAACATCAATAATGAGAATCATTGATAGGCTGCTTCCTGCATGCCCCCCACTGGGGATTGAGCCAGGCATGTGCCCCTGACCGGGAGTCAAACCATGACCTGGGTCATAGGTCGATGTTCAACCACGGGGCCACACCAGCCAAACTTCTTCTCTTTCCTGTCCTCATTATAACATTTTCTCACTAGTCTCAAATGCCTCACCACAAATACTTCTCTCAGAGTCCTTGGAGAGAGGCCATGACCTCATCACCCCTAATTCTCCAAAATTAGTCATAGAATCTTAAAGTTGGAGGGCACCGCAGCAGCCACTGGTCCAGTGAGTTTCAAACTTCTCTCGGGGACTTTTTTTTTTTTTTTTTTTTTTAAGTCAGGGACTCTCTCCTTCAACAAAATCGTACGTGGAACCCTGATATATGTTGAGCAGCTGCTAGGGCATGGCCATGGAAACTGTAGGGTGCTGTGTCCCGTGGATTGAAAAACCATTCATGGGCACAAAACTGAATTCTTTTCAAATTTACTTTACAGCATCCCCTCACAAACGGGTAACTATTCTTTGTTCCCAAGCGTGTCCGCCCCCTTGCATGTAAGCACCTCATTTCCAACTGCTCCGTTTCCCTCACGTTCGGAGAATAAGTACTTTTCTCCTCTAACACTGCATTCCAAAGTCAGAGAGGGAAGCTCCTCTCCTTCAGGGCAGTCCCAGGGTGTAATTTCCAGGGCCTTCGAAGAGAAAGATGGGGCAGGACGGCGGGCGGAGGGTCCCACCCATCAGGCCCTCCAGGGACGATCAGGGCACCTATTTCCTGTGTCATCCCCAGCGCCCGGCTCGGCTCTGCGGCACCACAAGGCCTGAGTGCCGGTGCTGCCCAGGGGACTGGCTGCAACCGGAACCGCAGCTACTGGACCCCTGGAGGTTGCCATAGATACTGAGGTGCAGGGAGCCAGTGAACTCGTTATTATTTAAATGTATCTCTCCTCTAATTGCGGTGGGGTAGCTGGAGGTTGTGTGGGTGCTGCAGCAATGGGGGTCCAGGAGGGTGTGTGTGTGTGTGTGTGTGTGTGTATTGCCACTGCGGCCACCACGTCAGAGTCTGAGCTGTTGAGAGAGGGAGGGAGGGAGTCAGGGAGGGAGATGGGAGGGAGACCTAGAAAGGGAAAAGGAGAGAATGATTTGAGTTTCCTTCTAATAGTTGTCCATTCGAATTCTCCACTTTATTTGGATGTCTCACAAAGAGGCGGCGCCAAGCACGTAGTAGGCAGCTGATCAATGTTGTTGAAAGGAGGCTGGGTCTGCTTAACCCATGACTGTGAGGCAGTCCTGAGGCTTCACCCCAATGTTTTTCTCATCACTCCTGCGTTTACCCAGAAACTCGATGCGAAGGGCTTTATATGGTCGCTCTGAAGCACCGTCCACAGCGGTCCCCTCTCCCCGCGGGCACGGGAGAGGCCAGGGATGCGGCCCTGGCTGACGGTGCCCGGGATCTGGGACTCCAGGGCAGTGCTGGTCTGTGTTCCTGCGTGTTCCGCCCTCTCTGTGTTCTCACTCCACCTTGTGATAATGAACATGGAGGTTCAGCACCTGGAGGTCAGGAACCAAGCGGCCTTGAGGGCTTGGGGAAAGCACATGGATGATGAACTAACAGGCAGCCCCTGTTTGGGAGTGCACTCTGCCTTCCAGGCGACCGACAGACACTCATGGCTTACTGTCCTTGCCTCGTACACAGTCTCACTGCCCCACGCTGGGACCTGAAACCAGGCTCTCACCCGGGTTCAAGATAGGAAGTGGCCTTCCTCCTCAGCGCCTTACTTCCTGTTGCCTGGGGAGGGGTGGGGCATGGTGTTCTGTCACCTCAGCCCTTTCCTTCTTGGTCCTTTCTGCCCTCCTCCCAGGCAATCTGTTCACGTTTCCCTCTGGTGTTTGCCTAATGTTCCCCACTGGGCAGTCTGGGTTTTGGGACTGGCTCCCAGGACTTTTGGGGTAAGGACAGGAGCCCTCTTGGGGAGCTCTGCTCCACCCACCCCCCTCAGGGAGGTGGCCTGGGAGGCTGGGAGGACTCTCAGAGGCCCAGCAGCCTTCTGCAGGCAAGCCAGCCTGCTGACAGCGGAGGCCTGACTCCCAGTGGGCGTCCTGCTGTAATCAAGACTGAGCTGCAGCAGCAGTTGGCTGAGCGCCGCCTGCCTACCCGCCCGGGTGGGGCTAGCCCCTGACTTGGGGTCCAGAGGTCCGGGCAGGTCAGGTACCTGCCCGTCAGCTTCCCCTCTACCTAGACAGTTGTGGGCCTGGGTGCCACCCTATTCTGACAGCGGGGGACAGAGGACAGGATGGTAGCTGCCTCTGCCGGCGCCCCAGGGAGGTCACACCACAAATATTTATGTACCGAGGTCCGGGGCTGGGTGTAGAGACCGCGGTGAACCAAGGAGGCAGAGACCCTGCCTCCGGGAACCTACCGTTTAGCGGGGAGGCAAATGTTAAGCAAATAATGACAGCTCACGCTGTTCTAACGAAGCGCCGGGTACTATTCTGAGTGCTGCATGTGCCCTCGCCCATTTCATACCCACAACGCTGTGAGGTAGATACTATCATTCCCCTCGGCGTTCAGATAATGCATTTGAGGTTGGGAAGGATTGTGTGGCTTGCTGGTCAGAAGTCAGTGGGTTGCCCAGAAGACAGAGCCGGGCAGTCTGCCCTGAGTTCCCTCTTCAGACAGACAGCCTTGCTCCAGTTCTCCCAGTCCACACGCCCTTGCAAAGCGTGATGGGCCCCATCCAATGAAAGCACGGGGTGTCCTGCAAGAAAATGGGAATATTTTCTCCTCCCATCGTCCCCTTGCTCTTCTAGCCCACCCATCTAGCACGGGGCTTTTTCGATTCGTTCCCCGTTTCATCCCTGCCATCTCTGGCCTGAGGAAGGACGTCTGTCATCTTTCCGGTCGGTAGGTCGGCACGGCCGGCCGACTTGCACCTGCATCCTTGGCCCGGCCTGGCCTCCCTGGACGAGCGAGCGGTGTCTGACGGCGCTTATCTAACGGCGATCCCCATGCTGCCTGGCACCAGGCTCCATGGACTGTCAGCTTCCCGCGGGGAGGCGGCGGGAGCGGGCCTGCAGGGCGGGGAGTGCGGTCTGGCTCGGACCTGTGACCTTGGCCTTCTCCCGCGCCGCCGGGAGCGGGGCTGGGGGCTTGGGATCGAGTTCGGGGCGGAGGGGTCCCCGCTAGGGAGCTCGGAGGCCCAGATCCCTGCACGATCCCAGCTCACAGACGCCGGGCGCGCCTGGCAGGGTCCGCCCCGGGCTGAGCCCGCCGGCTGCGAACCTCTCCGCTCCTCCCCGGGCCGGTGCGGGACCCTCCCCTCCGCGCCCTGCGCCCCGGCCGGCCGGGCGGCTCGGGGGCGGCGGGCGGGGCGGCGGCGGGCCCCTCCCCGGGGGCGGGCCGGGCGGCGCGGGCGGCGGGCTGGGGGCGGGGCGGCGGGCGGCGCGGGGGTGTCGCCGCGCGCTCCCTCCCTCCTCCCTCCGCGCGCTCCCCGGTAAAGTCTCGCGGTGCTGCCGGGCTCAGCCCCGTCTCCTCCTCTTGCTCCCTCGGCCGGGCGGCGGTGACTGTGCACCGACGTCGGCGCGGGCTGCACCGCCGCGTCCGCCCGCCGCCAGCATGGCCACCACCGCCACCTGCACCCGCTTCACCGACGACTACCAGCTCTTCGAGGAGCTCGGCAAGTACGGCCGCCCGCCGCCCCGGCCCCGGCCCCGGCCCGGCCCCCGCCGCCCGCCCGCCCGCCCGGCGCTCTGCGGCGCTCGCCCCGCCCCCCCGCCTGCACCGGCCGCTGCGGCGCCCCCGGCCCGCCCCACCCCCAGCCCTTCCCGCCGCCGCCCCCGGGGCTCCGCGCCCCCGGCGCCCCGGCCCCCGGCCCGCAGCCCCTCCGCGCCCCGCAGCATCAGCTGCCCGGGCTCTGCATCCCGCCGCGGGGACCGCAGCCCCCGGACCGCTCCGGGGCGCCCTCCAGCCCCGCCCCTCCCGCACCCTCCAGCCGCCCGCATCCCCTCGCCGCCCTGCGCGGGAGCTCCCCCAGCGCCCTGTCCCCCGGCCCCCGCGCCCGGCGCCCAGGACCCTCCCGGCCCTGCAGCTCCCGCCGCGCTGCGGTGCCCCGGGGTGTGTGTGTGTGTATTGGGGGGGGGGGATGTGTGGGGCCCGGCCCCGCCCCCGCCGGGGCCCCGCGTCCAGGCTCCCGGCCCCGCAGGCTGCGGCCGCGCTGCAGCACCCCGGCCCCTCCCCCCCCTGCAGTGGTCCCCGCGCCGCCGCCGCCGCAGCCCCCGCCCGCCCGCACCCCCACCTCCCGCACCCCCTCCCGCATCCCCACCGCAGCGCCTGCCGAGCGGCCACTGCGGGCCCCCGCCCCGCCGCCCCCCTGGACGTTTGCAGAGCTGGAGAGTGCGAGCTCCCTTTGGGGAGGAAGAGAGGGAAATATCCCCCCGGGGAAGGGGAAGGGGCAGGGAAGGGGAAAAGGAAGGGGAAGGAAAGGGGAGCTGTGGATGAGACCCACACCTGGACCCCCGCTCCCCGTGCCCTCAGCGGAGCCGGGGTGCAGCGGGCCGCAGACGGTGGTGGGAGATTTGAGCCTCACTTTCCGCACCACCGTTCCCGCTGGTTGAGGGAGATGTCTCTCTCCCAGGGGGTTATACCCTCTCTTTCTAATCTCCCCTTCCCCTACCTCCAACTATTCCTGCGGAGGGCAGGCAGGGTCTCTGTGCCCTCCCCTGGCTCTCCGGGCTGGACTGCAGGGCCGTCTTGTGATGCAGCAGGTGTGTGCGCCTTAAGCAGGATGCCCACCAGCTCCCGAGGTGCGGCCTGAGGCCGGGGGCGTGGCTTCTGTGCCCAGGGACCAGGCTCAGGGGTGGGGAGTGGGGTGGTCCTCCCTCCATACATCGGCTCAGTGTCTCGCAGTGGCCCCCTCTTCTGCCCCATGTTGGGTAGTGCTGTGTGTCACTGAGCTGGTGTGTGTGTGTGGTTTTGAGGAAAGGTGGATGGGAGCATCCCCTGCCCTCGGACCTGAAGCATGTCTGTGTTACTCTCTTGTGCTCCGTGTCCCAGTTCTTTCCCCCTTCTCCCTCCAGGGGTGCTTTCTCTGTGGTCCGCAGGTGTGTGAAGAAGACCTCCACGCAGGAGTATGCAGCAAAAATCATCAACACCAAGAAGTTGTCTGCCCGGGGTGAGTGCTCCCCAGCGTGGCGTCTCCCTGGGGTGTCTCCAGGGTCCTCGCTTCCTCTGAAGAGGCTCAGGGAGCAGGGGTTGTGCATTTTAGCCCTCTGAGGCGGGTTGGGATTGCGGGGTGGACCTCGAAGCCGGGGAGGGAGTTGTATGGGAAACCCGCAGTGCTCAGGTAGATGCGTGAGGAGGTGTGAGAGAGGTAGGTCGCGGTAGGGAGGAGCGGTCCCTGGAGGCACAGGGAGCGTGGCTTTAAAGAGAAGGGGGCCATCATCTGGAGTTTGTGTGGAGGGGGGGGGGGTAGGGGTAGCCGCTCCCGGTCTGTCCTCCTCGTCCCCGTGCCCCCACGGTGACTTAGGATGGAGACGCAGCAAGTGAACAGCTCTGACAAACCAGCCTCCCCCTGCCCACCAGGCGGCAGAACAGACTCCCAGGGGAAGGGAATCTGTAAACATCAGAGGAGGCAGCTACTGGCGAGGGCTTCTGGGAACAGATCCTGCCAGATGAACTTGATTGCTTTTTTTGATCAAATTACAAAGTTGGTGGTGCAAGCAAGCAGATGCAGTCTGTCCTGGGTGGAGCAGGATGATGCCTCGTGGTCTGGAATTCTCAGTGGCCGGGCCTGGGTGGGAGCCGCGTCGCCTGCCTCGGGGGGGCCTGAGGACGAGGGAGGGCCAGGCCCTGGAGCCTGGCTGGTGAGATCCTCCCGAGCACCTGACACACCTGAAGCCGGAGGGTCAGGCCCTGGCTTTCACACCTCGCACCTACACTCCCTGAACCTTGCCTTGGGTGCTTGCCAAGCTCACCTCATCTGATAGGTGCAGGCCCAGCAGTGTGTGGAGTGCCCTGCGAACAGGTCTGGTGAGTCCAGAGGTATGTGGAGGGGTTAGGTCATCGAGCGAGCGCCGCAGGGTGCAGGAGGGGGACACATTTTATGAGCTTCGGAGCAGGGAATCCGGGCTGGGCGATGGGACGCCTTAGATACGGGAGGAGCCAGGACAGAAGCCTGGGGGCAGACGGGGGAAGACTATCTCTAGGATAAGAGAGGGAGCAGATGTCCCCAGGCATGGGAGACGCTGGACACCCCCACAGAGAGGACAGTGGGCTGCTGTCAGTGGACGGTTGTCCTGGGGCCTGTGTCTGCCTCCTGGCCGGGAGGCCCTCTCGCCGTCCCCGCTGCCAGAGCTTGTGTCGCGTCCTCCCAGCCCCCACCTCTTGCCGCTGCTCCGTCGGCTATAAAGTTGACTTATTTGTTTGTTTCCTCTCTCTGGGTACCTTGCATCGGAGGCAGTGGTTACCATAGAGACATGTGGGCAGTCAGATGCACTCCTCCCCTGGGGTGCGGGGAGGGGGGGGGACGGCGGGGGGCCCTGCTCGCTGGCAGACATCCTCTGGCCAAGGCTGCAGGGTGCGGGCGGAGGTGGCAGCCTGAGAGTGCGCGCCTTCCCGCGTCCACACGGCACAGCCCCGAGGTGGCCTGGCGTCTCCCGTTCCTCATGTCACGCTTTGCTCTTCCCCACCTCACCAGTGTCCTCTGACCCAGGGGCAGGGGGTAAGGGTCGGAAAGATGACTGGGAGCCCCACTCGGGGTGGGGGGATAGCTGGTGAGGTGACTTTGTAGAGCTGCCCGCCTTGGGCTGTCATTTTTTTTTCTTCTTTTTCTTTTTTTTAAAAAAAATATTTTATTGAGTTTTTACAGAGAGGAAGAGAGCGGGATAGTTAGAAACATCAATGAGAGAGAATCATCGATCAGCTGCTTCTTGCACACCCCGCACTGGGGATGTGTCCGCAACCAAGGTACATGCCCTTGACCGGAATCGAACCCGGGACCCTTCAGTCCGCAGGTCGAGGCTCTATCCACTGAGCCAAACCGGTTTCGGCTGGGCTGTCATTTTCTACTCCCTCCCTGCCCGTCTGAACTTCTCTGGCCTGGGCAGTCACGTCTCCTTCTCATCCTCCTCCCCTCCTCTCAGCCTTGTCCTGCCTTTCCCACCTGATAATCATCCTTCCCCTGCCCAGGCTGGGGGAGGTTTGATTTCTCTTTGATTTTTTTTTTTCCCCCTCAAGAAGGAAATTCTTGTGTGAGATCCTGCGCTCCAGACAGCAACTCCCCCTCTCTGGAGGTGGTGATGCCAAGACTGGGGCTCCGCCGTGGGGTTTGTGTGCCAGGTTAACGTTGGGACGGAGGCCCTCTCCTCCTGCTGGTTGGCACCGATGCCAACCGGAGGGGTCAGGAGTGAGTGCGTGCCAGCACTGTCTGGAGGTGGGAGCGTGAGGGGGAGGGTGTTGTCTTGGAGATGGAGGGAGCACGCCAGGGGCTGCGGCGGGCGGGCGGTGTGGGCGTCGGGGACGCGAGCTCCCGGAGAGGCTGGGCGCGCGGCCGGTGCCCACGGGGTTAGGGAGTGAAGGCCGCGGCTTCCTTCCGGCAGCCTCTCGGTTTACGCTGTATATTTTATAAAGGCGCAGCCGCCGGGGCTGGGTTTCACTCTCCGGCGCTGTCTGTCTGTCTGTCTGTCTGGGGCTCCGCGGGTGTTGGGTTTCGCGGTGTTTGGGAATGCGGTGGGCCCGCGGGGGGCGCCGGGCGGGTCTGGAAGGGGCTCGCGGTGTTGGCCGAGCGTCCCTGCCCGCTCTCCCCCCTGGCTGTTGATTCCCCGAGCCGGGAACCGAAAGGAGAGAGAGAGAGAGAAGAGGGTATCGAGCTGCCTCTCCTTGGCATTCAGGACGAGGTGGCCCGGGAGGCACGGGGAGGAGAGATCACCTGGTCTGCGGGTGGGAGGCTCTGGAAGGAATCCTCCCTGTGGCTTCTTGCCGTCGTCGTCGTGGCCTCGGGCCCGCGCTGGTGGCTGGGTTGCAGGGCGGGGAGCGCGTGGGGCGGTGCGCGCCCACTGTCCTTGGGGCCCTGCCCGCAGCGGGTCACCGGGGGTCACGTACCGTCCCTCCCTGTGCTCCGGGACAGCGGTAGGTGTGGCGTTGGGGCTCTTCATGGAACCCGGGGTGCCAGGCTGAGCGCCCTGCGAGGCTGAGGGAGGCATTTAAAATAGGCCTGGATGCAGGCGCTAGTGGGCCAGGTGATGGCAATGATAAGTCGTTATTTTAAGATTTAAGAGCAACCACCGCCCCCCCCCCCCAGGAGCCTGAGCCCTTATGTCTTTTTTTTATTTTTAAATCTTCCTATTCCCTTATCTTTATTCATATGCCTATAGATTTTCACCTCGCGGTGCATAACATTTTTACATCCTGCTGCTCCCTTGCTTGCATCCGAGACACTGCCCCACATCGCTGCAGTTGAAGGGCAAAGGCTCCTTCCTTTCTTCTACGTAGTTTAAGGGTTTATTCTTGGGACAATTAAGCATCTAAGAAGCCTCTGTATTTGGACCATGTATCTTCCTTCCAGTTGCTTTTCTCTACGATGGATACTTGGCCTTACTAAGAGATGCTACCAGGAGCAACATTTGAAATCTGTTATAGCGCTTGCTGTATTTATTTGTTTGTTTGTTTGTTTGTTTGTTGGTGTATGTGTGTATGTATGTCTGTCTCAGTGGATAGAATGTCAGCCCGTGGACTGAAGGGTCCCGGGTCCAGTTCTAGTCAAGGGCACGTATCTCGGTTGCAGACTCGATCCCTGGCCCTCATTAGGGTGCGTACATGGAAGGCTACCAGTCGATGTGTCTCTCTCACATCAGTGTTTCTCTCTCTCCCCCTCCCTGCTATCCTTCCAATCTATTATAATAATGGAAAACTATCGATTAACAAACGTTCCTCTTCAGTCTGTATACCCTGTGTGAAGTAATTTCTATTGAAGTAAACGTAAACCAAAGCTTTCCTCTGCCTAGCGGCCTGGGGGGCGACAGGAGGGACCACATCTGTTTCTTTATGGTGTGGGGGCAGGGGCTTGCAAAGTGCCTGATCCATACAGAGCATCCGTGTGCTGAATGAATAGATTAAAAGGACCCCCTAGCCCATCATGGTTGCCTTTTGGCTTTGGCTCTCGGGAACCTCCGAGCCAAGTTGCTGGGACCCTTATACCCTGGAATTGGCTCGGGTTCCCCATTTTTGCTCCATGGAGCCAGCCTGCAGGCCTGACGGAGCTGTTGTGAGAGCACAGATGAGAGCAGAGACCTGTGCTTGGGACGTAATGCAGGTTGGAGAGGCAGGAAGACAGGGTCGCTTAGGGTTCCCTGTCATTGATGGTTGGCCTTCCAAGGCAATGTGGGGACGCTTCAAAGCAGTGGCTTCCAGTGTGAGAGCACAGAAGGATCCCCCTTGCGTTCTGGTGAAAATGCAGGTTCCCGGGCTCCAGACACAGGGATTCTGCTTCCGGGTGTCTGGGGTGGTCCCTGAGCCACATGCTCTTAAGAAACGCCATCTAAACTCAGCGGCAGCACTGACAACTGCTCTTGCCATGCTCGCTGAGATTCACCAGACACATGTTTACCCAGCCTTCCCCAGGTGGCGTCTCTGCCGGTATGCGGCCATCTGTGCGCCCAGGGCTGCGCTGTGATGTGGGGCCTCCGTCCGTGTGCAGGGCTGAGGCGAGCCGAGTGCCTGGGGCTGAGGGATGTTGGCCACCCGAAGGGCAAAGGCTGGCCCTGTCTGGGTCCAGCTGGCCCCGGGGACTGAAATAGGATCCCCCGGGTGGTGCCAGCTGAGAGTCCCCACCCCCTGCGTGCTGGCCTGAGTAGCCCCCATGACATTTGTGTCCCCTGTGGTATCTCCGAGTGAGACTTTCCCGTTAAGGATCTGGGTGAAGGGAGGGGAGGGTGGAGCAGCAGCGGGCGGGGGAGGAGGAAGAGAAATCTCGGCAGCGGGCGTGCTGGGGCTCGGGAACTTGTGAAAGCCTCGGAGGAGGTTGTACACAGAACCATGCTTTCCTCCTCCGGACAACACAGGCCATTTTTCTTTTTCTTTTCTTTTTTTTAAATATATCTTATTGACTTTTTACAGAGCGGAAGGGAGAGGGAGAGAGAGTTAGAAACATCGATGAGAGAGAATCATCCATCAGCT